AGTTCGTCATTTTTGTAGTTTATAGTGTCCATGTTCATCGCAGTTTAGAAAAGATAGTTGGCATTAGTCCAACAAAGCCGGGTCGCGGGTCGGGTCAGCGGGTCACCCGGGAAAAAAGCCGGGTCGCGGGTCGGGTCAGCGGGTCACCCGGGAAAAAAGACGGGTCGCGGGTCGGGTCAGCGGGTCACTTTTGACCCGACCCGACCCGACTTCCGCTGCCCATGTCTAATGTCTAGTAATTTCCCCTTCCTTTTAGATGAGACGAATTTCCTCTTCTTTCCCGTCACCAATTTGCTTCACATGCGTGAATTCGGCTTTCGATTCGTCGAGTCACCACGCGGAACGTGGTTTTCGATGACTTTAGTACTCGATACAATCCTGCAACTGAGAAAATTTCGCGGAGTAAGCAGATTTAACGTTTAGTTCCTCTGGAGAATGCTGGAGATTTGACAGAGAAAGCCAAACTATGGTCTTAAGTTATTTATTGCTTTCCACGATATGCAAGTAGTGTTAACAAAACATTGAATGATAGTCAGAAAGAGTACTGGAGCAATGACCTCCCGTTTACTGCAGACATTTTCTGGTTTTCAACAAAAACCCACGAAAACTGTCTTTTAGGATCACGGGAATCGCTCGTGCGAGTATCAAATAGTGAACGGGTCACCCGGTGGCTTCCTTGGCCATCCCGAGTTTCTATTGAACACGTATCGGTAAGTTTTTCAATTTTTCGGCTAACGTCTCAAACAGTGTGTTCTCCTTTCTAAAAGACACCTAATTTCTAGAACAACAGTAATCAAAGAATGAGTTTTAATTGTAGTGCTGGCTGACTGAGTATTGTGATTCCTCATCGATTGTTACTAAAATTGAGCTGTTTAAATCATTGAGGATTAGATGAAGCGGTTTTTAGCCGACTTAGAAAAGAGCACCCAAATTTCAATGAGTCTTTAGTGATACCGATGTCTTTCAAGAGCAATCTCTCATATATTCATCCTACAGTATCTACATACCACCTGGATGTGCTCCAAGTATCGCTTTCAACACATCATCCGGTAAACTTTGACAGTACTTTTGCTTGTTTCATATCTTTCTCGTACAGCAAACAATAAGCTGAGACTTCGTAATTGTGGCGGGACGGTGTTTCTCGCGGTTCTCGACGATCAACTGAATATCCCGTTGAACCAAATAGACGCTGCCTATTTTTGCGGTCAAGTTTATTCTTTTTTTATCTTTCTTTTCTTTACCTGTAGACATTTGCACTTAACCGAGTCCCGGCCCAGATTCGGATCGAAGTAGGAAAATTTGTGCCGGTTCGATTTGGTAGCAAACTTTACAGGGCATCTGGTAGTAAGATTGTGTGAAAACCATCAAACTTATTGTATTAAATTTCCCTTGTTATTGTAGCAGAGAGATGAAACTTGATAAGAAAAGCTGCAACGAGTGCTTAATCACAATGCACCCACTGAGTGCTCAACAAACATCATGTTGTTTTTCCTTTTCGATTAAAAGGGAACATATTCTGTTTGCTTTCAGATCTTTTCCCCGTCAACATATCGTTTCAAACAAATTCTATTGGATTCGGTCTAATCTCGGTTAAATATTTGAAGAATTTCGGCGACGATTGGCTAGATAGCGAGTTAGCTTCTTTAAAATAAGAACTTATTTTTTGAATTTGATTCAATTCTCTTTTAGCGTCAACACGACACTTTCCAATGTGCGAGCGATTCAGGTAAAAGGGAAAACAGTGAAAAAATTGATTGTGAAATACTTCAGCTTCAATGTACCATTATGTCCAAATGGGAGAAATACAAGAAATGCTTTGCGAAGATTCATTTTGTTCGTTCTTTCCACAATCGATTCGACGATCCATCACCGGTAACTCAAAATCCGTCAAATCAAGCTGAGAGATGCCCCAATCCCATCTCTTTTTTTACATTTACTCTTTCACTAGACATCTTTTTCTTTCTCAACACTAGTTGGTAGCTTTTTGAAATCTTTCAACTCAAAACATTTGATCGTTTGTAGGCTGTAAGCTCCAGTGATTCATATTTCGTTATTGATATTAGGCACTTGCAAAAGAAACTGCGGATTATAACCAACATTTGAAAAACCCAAAAATCAATAAGAAAATAACTTTATTCCAAAAGATATTTGCCATCATTATCAACTATGTTCTTACATTTTTTGCGTAGACTTCGGATGTCTGATTCGGAAAATTCGGGGTCCGGCGATGCAAAGTAGTCTTGCACCCAAATTTCGACTTCTTCAGGATTGTTAAACGTTAGATTTGCAAGAGAGTGTTGCATAGACAGGAACAAGTGGTAATCTGAGGGAGCAACATCAGGCGAATAGGGCGGATGAGGCACAAGTTTCCAGCCTAATTCTTCTATGGTGTTTTGAGCCAAGTTTGATGTGTGTACCCGGAAATCATGAGCGAGTAAATGGATTGCCCTTGGATTAACACCCCTTTCTCGTAGAATTTCATCAACTTTCTTCAGCTGTTCGGCGTAGATTTGAGAAGTTATAGTTTTTGAAGATTTTTGTAGTTCAAAATAAACGATTCCTTTCATATTCCAAAAGACCGACAGCATAACTTTCTTTCCGTGAAGTTCTGGATGTGATGTCGGAATCGGCCTTTCTCCTTTGCTCAACCATTGTCTTTTGCGTGTTGCATTATTGAAATATGTCCACTTTTCGTCCATCATCAACATGTTTTCAAAAAAGCACTGCCCGTAGCCTTTTTCAATAGAAACCGAGACCATAAAACTCGATTGACTTTGTTTTCAGGGGATAATTCATGTGGGACCCATTGGCCACAACGATTCCTTTTTCCAATAAGCGCAAGGTGTCGAGAAATTGTGCTCGAATCACATTTAAAGTATTCGGCTAATTCGGGCAAAGTTTGAGTTGGATCCAACTCGACAATCTCCAGCAACTCCGCATTATCGAAGACAACTGGACAATATCCATCTTCCAAGCTGCCATCCCCTTCACGAAAACGTCGAAACCATTCCTGGCAAGTCCTTTCACTCGAAATGTTTTCTCCGAATGTTTCACAAAGATTCCGGTGCGACTTCGATGCTGATTTCTTCATTTTGAGGTCATAGAGAAGGCACGCTCGGAACATGAGTTTTTGCTCCGTCATCTTCTACCGAAGATTATGTAATATTTAATGATAGCAATAGTTGTGAAAATAATTAAAATGAATAAGCAATAATAATACAATATAATACAATTTAAACCGGACCATCACACTTTCAAATAAAAAAAAACTTTCGTCCTCGGAAGTAATCCGGAGTTTCTTTTGCAAGTACCTAATAGCATGTCGCTTTCTTTCCCATTCTGTTTAACTTTTATAGATACGTGACTACTGTGATAACCATTCATGAAATGAGTTAATCTGTCTTTGCAAACTACACAGTTGAAATAAGTAACTTGTTTGAGTGATGAGAATAAACACTTTTTGCAAACGATTGAACCAATGAAAAAACTCTCAAACAAAAACGTTTTCTAAAAATAAACTCAACTTTTTGCTCATTTTCCTGTCTTGATCACAAAGTTTTTATATTCTTCTACAGTTTTATTGATCCAACGATAAACATTTCAAAAAGAAGCACTATAACACGTCTCACAAACATAAAATTGATCATTTACATTCAAAAAAATCCTATTTGATTCGATTTGATTCATTTCCGATTCGAGCTAGGTCCCCCCCCCCCCCCCCCCCACAACCCCACCCAACACCCAAAACACAAAATTTAACCACACAAAAAAAAACAACCCAAAAAAAAACCAAAACACAAAAAAAAAAAAAAAACCCCCCCCAAAAATTTCTATCAAAAAACCCACCCAACAAAAAAAAACAAAAAAAAAAAAATTTTAAAAAAAAAAAAAAAAAAAAAAAAACAAAAAAAATTTTAATAAAAAAAAAAAAAAATTTTTTATATTTTAAAAAATAAACCCTCAAATTTAAAAAAAATAAAACTTTTATATTTATTTTTTTAAAAAAAAAAAATTTAAAAAAAAAAAAAAAAAAAATTCAAAAAAAAAAAAAAATTTTTTTAATAAAAAAAAAAAAAAAAAAAAAAAAAAATAAAAAAAATTATCATCCCCCCATCCCCTCTTCTTTCTCCTTTTATTTTTTTTAATTATTTTAATTTTTAAAATTTAAATATTAATTTTTTTTTTTAATTTTTTTTTTTTTAACTTTTCTTTTCTTTCCCTTTTTTCCTTTTTTTTTTTTTTTTTTTTTTTTTTTTTTTTTCTTTTTTTTTCTTTTCTTTCTCCCCCCCCCTCTCTTTTCTTTATTTTAAATTTTATTTTTTTTTTATTTATTTTTAAATAAAAAAACCTCTCTTTTTTTTTTTTTTTTTTTTTTTTTTTTTTTTTTTAAAAAAACCTTTCTAAAAAAACATTTTTTATAATTAATTTAATTTTTTTTTTTAAATTCCTTTCAAAAAAAAAAAAAATTAATAAATTAAAAAAAAAACCTTTTTAAAATTTTTTTTTTCTTTTTTTTTTTTTTTTCTTTTTTTTTCTCTTTTTTTTATTTTTATTTTATTTTTTTTTAATTTTTTTTTTTTTTTAAAAATTAATATTTTATTTTTTTTTAAAAAAAAAAAAAAATTTAATTTTTTTTTTTTATACAACTTTTTTATTTTAATAATAAAAAAAAATTTAAAAAAAAAAAAAAAAAAATAAAAAAAATTAAATAAAAAAAAAAAAAAAAAAAAAAAAAAAAAAAAAAAAAAAAAAAAAAAAAAAAAAAAAAAAAAAAAAAAAAAAAAAAAAAAAAAAAAAAAAAAAAAAAAAAAAAATAAAAAAAAAAAAAAAAAAAAAAAAAAAAAAAAAAAAAAAAAAAAAAAAAAAAAAAAACAAAAAAAAAAAAAAACCCAAATATTTTTCAAAAATCCCTTCCCTTTTAAAAAAAACCCCCCCCCCTCTTCCCCGGCGAGCTAGGTGAGCTTTCAAAGTTTTTTCTAACCATCAGATTTATTCCTTTAGCAATTTGCTACAATATGGCGACATGCTCCGGAAATGTCGATCAAGAGCAGTTGCAATGTCACTATGATTCCTTTTGAAACTTCCAAACAGAAGAAGCTCCTTCGTCTGTGCTAAAAGAGTCGATAGCTTCTTACTGTTTATTCCATTTTTGGCCCCTAGGGCCTTCCAAAAATTGCGCTAACACCCATATTTCAGGGCAGAAAGCGACGGGTAATTGGTATCAGTTTTCAACCAGCAATAAACGCACCTCGGCTAGGCCTCATTGGTCACGTTATCGCCTCTGCGCAAAGCTGATTTCAAAGAGGAAAGAGAAGGGTATAGGGGAAAGACGTGTCCAGAAAGCGCGCCTTTCCGCGACTGCACAGAGAACGGCAGAGCTTTGTGAAAGAGCCAGAGAAGTAGGCCTAATTGACCTAAAATAAAGCTCTTTTTACCGTAACCTTTTTATCGCATAAGCCATTGATAAGCAATTCTTGGTAATATGAATTTCGCAACGGGTTTTCGAGAGAATCGAACAAATACAGGATTGGGATTGATATAAAAACTTTTGGAAGAGATAAACGAGCTTAAAAATGTTCGTAAAACTCAAGGAAACGCTAGACCGATGCAAATTTTTGAAACATATCTAAGCGATTTGGGAAATGAGAGGGATTTTGAGGAAGAATTCAAGAAGAATTCTTTTTTGATCCACTCCAGAAAATGTCTCTATCGTTTTTTGACAAGTGAAAGTTTCGCCGATATTTCTGGCGTACTTTACAAAAAAAAACGATTACCAATATAGCCCAAAGAACTGTAGTTATTCGCTTGGTTCGAGTTCGAATTTCTAATCTTTTAAACCACACAATCAAATACCAACCGAAGAAATAACGATGAAAATCCAAAAAGTAGTTGATCTCCAGAAATAGATCGTTCGAATTTTTGCTTGACGAATCCATTTTTTATCGCGATGTCTTGAAAAAGTAAAGTGAAAGTTCTTGCTTTCAATTGCAATTCCTCAAAAGAAAAACTTAGCACCTATCCTACTTCAGCAAGATTTCAGCTGTCGCTTTGATCAATGATGACGTTTTTGCGAGTCAACAAAAAATCATTATTCAGTTGGAAAATCCAATAGTATCGATAAGTTTTATTTAGTTTAAATTCGTACCCACATTAAACTCAATTAATAAAGACCAAAGAAAACAAAAACAAAAAAGAGAAGGGGAACAGATGAGCCGAAAATTTGGCCTCCAGCGGTGGTGGTGGTCTGGCCGGGGGTGATTGTTGTGGAGATTGTGGATGTCGATTCTCCTGAGGTTGTCGTTTGAACTGGATCCATTGATGTAGTCGTTGTATCCGTGGTAATAGTTGTTGTTGTAGTAGAAGTAGAAGTAGTAGTAGTTGTTGTTGTAGTGGTAGTAGTTGTTTTTCGTGTCGTAGTCGTTGTGGTTGTGCTAGGTGGTGGAGTCTGGACGCGAACTCGGGCCGCCATGCCCGAGTTGGGTGTGGCCGCGTTGGGAGGCCAGTGGAACTGAAAAAGTTTGTTATTAAAACGAAACTTCTCTATGAAATCATAGAAATCAGCCCAAGATCATGGAAATTCTTTCCCTCTTTCCTGACAGCTCACCTTAATGGCGCCAACATTTTCAAAAATCGGATAGCTCTTGTAGGAAGTTTGAGCCGGGATCGTAAAACTAAAGAGACAAACAGTAGAAAGTTAAAGCTGAAATAAAAAACTCACTCTAGGATGGGATCAAGTTGTCGATCGAAGAGCGTCACCGAGACATTCTGGTCGGTAACCCGTTGCACATCGAGTGCATAGCTCGAGAGGAAACTCACTGAAAAGAGTTGTTATTTTGTTGCTTTTATAGAACAAACATACGGCAGTATATCGTTCGCGACAAGAAGTACCCATCAGGGAACACGTTGAACGGATCGAAGTAGCCGGGTGTGGTGACAAGAGCCGTGCCCTCGCAAAGTCCTTGAGCCTCCTCATACCAGCCTAAACTAGGTTTGTAGCGTTTTATATTCATTCAAAATACAATTCATTCACAAAGTCTATTCTCTATCTAAAAACTATACCAACTTTTAGCACAATAGTAGTGAAACTTTTAGAAAATAAACAATTAGAGAATTAGAAAGTGAATCAATAGTTGTTGGATTGTTAGATAGAGTGTTAATTTTATGATAAAAAGTTATCGTACCGCCTTTTCCTCGCTCGTCTTGACTTAGCCGAATAGTTGGTGAGCAGCCAGCCGGGATTCGGAGACTGTATTGAGCATTTTCGAGGAACTGCTCGACGTATGGCTCGGTCTCGCTAAAGAATGCTTTACAAAGTGCTTTGTTTACTTTTTGAAACATAACTAAACTAGTGCTGTAATTGTAATAATTGTTAACGAACTTGATTGTGAGTAAGTGAAACTCGTCGGGGATGCTGTTCTTGATTCCGGGTGGGTTGAAGAGTCGGAGATCGTAGGCGCATTTCGGATCGTTTTTCGTCTAAGCATTTTAGAATAACTAAAAAATCATCAAAAAAAACTAGCCGATTTTACTGCAAGATAATTCAATTGTCCACGATCGAAACTCATCACAATCCATCCATCTCTGTTCGATTCACCAAGCGAGAACTCGAAGTTTTTAATGCTAGTTGTGCTAGTTATTGGCATAAAGAAGGTATTAGCTGAAAATTTAAAACTTGAAAAAAACATTTTTACCCTTACAAGGCATCCACTGATTCACATGGAACATAAAAGCAAAAGTAGATGAATCGATTGTTGATGTTTGATCCCATTCGAGTCCAACCTTGTCTCCTGTTTGAGACCATGTGCAATATTGAAGGAATAGATCTCCGATTGGTCTAAATCTTTTGTTTTTGCAAATAATTTTACAAAGCTCTTACTTTATTATACAATCGTGACGTGGATCCGGTTTTTCGTGGGCCAAAGCGCTAAGAAATGGCAACTCGTTTGGAATGAAACTGCATGGCATCATGTCGTTTGACTAAAATAAATAAAAAAACAGATTTTTGCTTGACAGACCACTTTAAAATGTAAATGTACAAAACAAAAACTACAAAAACTACAATAAGTCTTTCCAAACCTCCGCATTTGTGCAAAGAAAAGTGACATGAATCATGAACGAGCACCCATCACCGGAACATGTCGCCATATTGTAGCAAATTGCTAAAGGAATAAATCTGATGGTTAGAAAAAACTCTAAAAGCTCACCTAGCTCCGATTGACTCAACTCGGTGCCCGAGAATTGTTGAGCTGGCTTGGTTTCATCGAGATATGGCATCTCGTTCGGACAATTGTTTGGCATTGCTGTCGTTGATGGCACTTCGGTTTTTGGTGCTTCCGTTCCTCCTGTATTTGGTGCCTCGGTTTTTGGGGCATCTGTCTTTGGGGCATCTGTTTTTGGGGCATCTGTCTTTGGTGCTTCTGTTTTTGGGGCTTCGGTTTTCGGCGCTTCCGTTCCTTCGGTATTTGGTGCCTCTGTTTTTGGTGCTTCTGTTTTTGGTCCTTCCGTTCCTTCAGTCTTGGGCTCCTCAGTCTTTGGTGGCTCCGTTTCTGGGGCATCTGTCTTTGGTGCTTCTGTTTTTGGTGCTTCTGTTTTTGGGGCTTCTGTTTTTGGTCCTTCCGTTCCTTCAGTCTTGGGTTCCTCAGTCTTTGGTGCTTCTGTTTTTGGGGCTTCTGTTTTTGGTCCTTCCGTTCCTTCAGTCTTGGGTTCCTCAGTCTTTGGTGCTTCTGTTTTTGGGGCTTCTGTTTTTGGTCCTTCCGTTCCTTCAGTCTTGGGCTCCTCAGTCTTTGGTCGCTCCGTTTTTGGTGCCTCTGTTTTTGGTGCTTCGGTTTTTTTTTTTTTTTTTTTTTTTTTTTTTTTTTTTTTTTTTTTTTTTTTTTTTTTTTGTTTTTTGGTTTCTTTTTTCTTTTTGTTTTCCCTTTTTTTTTGCGTCTGTTTTTGGTGCTTCGGTTTTGGATGCTTCCGTTCCTTCAGTCTTGGGTTCCTCAGTCTTTGGTGGCTCCGTTTCTGGGGCATCTGTCTTTGGTGCTTCTGTTTTTGGGGCTTCGGTTTTTTGATCGTCCGCTTTGGACACATAGACGAGTGCCGCCATTTCTGAGTAGTCGCTTATTTGGTTTCTCGGGCAAGAAAGCTAAAAAAGGTTTTTAGTTATTTCTGAAAAATTTTTTGGACTGCCTAAAAACCGCACCCACTTGAATTGAGCCAACGCTTGTAAAGGAGCACTTTTGGCCGTCGCCATGGATTGTGCAACTAAACTTTTAAGATGAAAACAAACGTCAACTTTTATTTTTGTATGACTCACTTTTGATGATCTATCCGTTTTTGATTCAAATCAAATGCTTCCACCAAAATGCTCATCTCACTGACGCGCATCGCCTCGACAGTCATGTCGATGAGAAACTCATCTGAAATGTTTGCAAAAGTTTTGCAATTTGGCTGTAGACTTACTGCAAAAAAGACTTCTATTTAGGTAGTAATTGACGGGGTTTACAATTTGTGGGTCTTCGTTTCCGTAGTTGTACGTTGTGACGAGAGCTGTTCCCGCGCAAACTCCTTGTGATTCATCATACCATCCTAAATTTTATTTAAAATTCATTTATGAATATGAATCAACCTCTTATCCCTCGATTGTCTTGAGTTAGCCCAATCATTGGGGAGCATCCAGCCGGAATTCGAAGACTGTATTTGGGATTTTCGAGAAACTGTATTGGATCATTCTCTCTGAAAAACTTTGCAATTGTTGTTACTCACTTGATCTCACAGTTACTCACTTGATCGTCATAAGTTTGTAGAACTCTTTTCCACCATTGTTTCCCGGTGGACTAAACAGCCAAAGCTCATAGATACAAGCAGGATTATCATTCTAAATACAAAATTGAATGTGAAAGAAAAAGAAACCAACAAGGTTCACTTCAAGATAACTCAAAAATCCTTGCTCAAAACTCATTGCCAGCCAAACATCTTGATCGAACTGGCCAAGCGATAGTTTAAAGTCATCAATCTGTGTTGTGAAGGGTAGTGGGAAAAAGATGGTGTTTGCTAAAGCAATTTCAAACTAAAATTGCGAAGCAAACGGAAGCACCAAAAACCGTAGAGCCATCAACGACAGCAATGCCAATAAAACTTACCTTCCATCCACTGGGTCACATGAAATCCGAAAGCAAACGTTGACGGATCAATCTTTGACATTTGATCCCATTCGAGTCCAATCTCACGACTTTCTGAGGACCAAATGCAATATTGAAGAAACAGATTTCCAAATGGTCTTAATTTTTGCAATTGTAAGTGTAATTTCTCACAATAGCTTTACCTTTTCATACAATCGTGCAGCGGGATCAATTTTTCTTTGTTTAAAGCGTTAAGAATTGGCAAATTGCTTTCGTCAAAATCACATGGCATCATGGTGTTGATCTAAAGCATTAAAATCCTCATTTAATAAGTAAACTAATTGACCGTGAAATTGTAAACAGCTAAATAAAGAGAATTTCTATCGTAAATCGATAAAATTAAAAGCCAACCCCATCGTTTGAACAAATGAAGGTGACATCAAGCGTGATCGAGCAATCATCACCAACACATTCCATCATTTTGTAACAAACAGCTAAATAATGAAAATAAATAATGAAATTTTTAAAAAACTAACCCGTTTTCGATTTGCTTAATGTTGTGCCCGAGAATTGCTGAGCTGGAGTAGTTGCATCAAGTAATGGAATGTTCATCGGACAGTTATTCGGAGTTTTTGTGGTTTTTGGATGCTCCGTTGTCGACTCAGTTGATGACTCGGTTTTTGGCGCCTCCGTTTTCTGATCGTCTACTTTCAAGACGTGAACGAGTGCCGCCAATCCCGTGGTTTCTCCAAGCTCTTCATTTGGACAAGTCAACTAAAATACACTAGACTAGGTCGATTTTGATGTAAAAGTCCCAAAAATCACCAAAAACTCACTTGAATCGATCCAACTCTCGAAAATGAGCACCCTTTCGTGTCTTGGTCAATAATGCAACTGAAATGATGAAAGTTTTTCAAAATTTCTTTATGACAAACGTTTGATCGAGTATCGGATTGTGATCAAAATCGAAAGCGTTCACCGTTACTGCAATATTCCCAACATCACCATCTGTCAAAAGCTCGACAGTCATGTTGGTGATGGATTCCTCTGAAATTCTTTTTTTAATGATTTAAATTTATTAAATAAAAATTCTTTACAACCTACTACAAATAATCGTTCGATCCAGGTAATAATCATCTAGAAATGGATTCGAATCATCAAAATCATCAAAATTCCTGTAACCGGGCGTTGTGACAACGACCGTTCCAGAGCAGTCGTTTTGTGATTCTTTGTACCAGGCTAAACGCATTATTAATCCATAAACAACTATATTATTTACCATTTTCTCCTTGCTTGTCTTGGCCGAGTCGAATAAACGGCGAGCATCCAGCTGGAATTTGTAGACTGTATTGGGTGTTCTCAAGGAATTGTTGTGGATCGTTTTCTCTAAAAACGTTCAGCTTTAAATAAAATCTAGCTAACAAACTTGATCGTAAAAAGTTGGTAGAGCTCGTTTCCGCCATTTGCTCCTGGTGGGCTGTAGAGCCAAAGGGCATAGCCACACTCGAGATTGTTGTCATTCTAAAAGCTGATCTTGATTCTAAAAGATATTGAATTTTCTGACCGTTTTCACTTCCAAATAATCCAGCAATCCTTTCTCAAAATTCATTGCAATCCAAGTCGATTGTTCGGATTTCTCAAGGGAGAACTCGAAGCTGTCGACCAGTGTCGTAAAAGGAATCGGGAGGAAGTCAGTGTTGGCTAAAATCTGCTGGTATCAGAACTTGTAGCAAGGTTTAGTGAACTTTTATTGAATTATTAGCCTTTTATTGCTTACAGTCTGAACTTTAAACCCACGTGTCATAAGCGAGTTTGCACGAAACAAGAAAGCCACTGTCGACATGTCGATTTTCGTCTCCGTGTCCCACAAAACTCCAAGCTTGCTGGACACCGATACCGAGTCCCACGAACAGCTTTTTAGTTTTCGTGTACCGATAGTTGCCCTAATAAAAAAAAGCATTTAAAACTGTTGTGCTAATGGCGAAAACCTTGTTTTGCAGGCGGTAAATGCCGGTTTTTCACCATTGGAAGCAATTTTAAATGGAAGAGCGTCGGCGGTGATCTCATTGCATGGCAACATGTTGTCTTTCTGTAAGAATTGTGGATATAAGCGGATAGGATTGGTTTTGATACGATATGATCCATTTTATCTAACTTATATCTACTGTATGGCAATTAAGCTGACCACGTCGTCCGAGCAAAGGTAGGCAAAATCGAGCGTGATCGGACACTCGTCGACATCACACTCCGAGATCTCGGTGCAGATAGCTGAGAGCGTGGATTTTATTGGTTTTGCTTTTGCTTCCTCCTGCAACCCTTGCATTCAGCTTAAGGCGCTTTCGTCTAATATTTACTTTTTAATACTATCTAAAATAGTAACTACATTCTAAAGGTCTAAGTACTTACCGTAAATACTGTAATTGGACTCCGTGGGGTACTATTTTTTTCCCTATAGGGTACTTTTTTTTTCCCTCCCCCTCTAGGGTGGGGTATTATTAGAGGCGTGGGGTCCAATTACAGTATTTACGGTATGTATTTACGAATAGTTACTTGAAATCACCTTGATTTTTGTCACTCTTCAACGCCGATCCCGAGTATTGTTGAGCGGGCGTGTTCGCGCTCAGCTCGAGTGGTTGCTTCCAGGGACAATTTTTACTGGCAACTCGATCCAAAGAGAAAACTAGTAAGATTGCTGGAATCCAAAACCCATTCTTGAACCTCATTCTTGAATAGTAAAATGGGGAATGAGAAACCATGAAGTTTACCTTTCGTTTTCACTATCTCATCGTTTTTCTCGCCGCTTCACAATGCGATTAGCGCCTCGAGAAAAGCCGCCTATGGATTTTGTGATAATGACCCTACCCCTACCCCTTCTGAAGGATTGATCCATTCGTTTTTCGAATCAAGCATTAAAAAATAAAAATTTCACGCCTGAAACACGTTTCTTCGGGTTGAAACTTAAGAAAGCGCCTTATTGTCATAATAAAACAGGAATTCGACGTCATTCACACAACACTCTTCAACCTGCTTACCCATTAACCAATTTAAATGAGCTTTAAGCTATCTGATTCGTATTTTTTGACTAATTGGTTTTTGGAAAATTTTGTCCAAAAACGCCGCCATTTTATCCTCCCCAAGCCAATACTTGAAAAAGTGAAATTTCTAGTGATTTCTAGTGATTTCTAGTGAATTTCC